CTGATCCCTGCAAGATCTCTGGGATTATTGAGAAAATTGCTGTTATTTTCCCAGTCACAGAATGGTTTGGGTTGGAAGGGACCTTAGAGAGCATCCCCTTCCAACAAACTGTCTAGTCAGATGGATTTTCCCTGTTTTCTCTCCACCAGGATAGAAGGACAGGAGCAACCATCCATCAAGGCACGTTGTCACCAGCCCGGCAGACAGCAAGCACCAAGTGTGGAGAGGACAAGCTCTCACAAGTCCACATTTTTCTGTGGAATTGCCCTGGTTCCTGTTTCACGGGACAGCAGCCTGGCCTTGACTCGACAGAGCAGGACAGGGGAGCTTGAAAGGGGCTGTCGAGGGAAGAACAGCTGAGAGCTACAATGATCCCAGTGTGTGTATAAATAGAGACGGGGCTGTTATCCTGATGAAATGAGACCAGATGTTTCTCCCAAATCCCTGCTCTCTGCTAGTGAAAATTATAGTTTAGTTACAGCAGGGCGAAGCGGGAAGCAAAATGTTTTAGACCTACTGATGTTGGGAAGTCAAAGGGGAAAAATGCCTCACTGGGGCGGGGGATACAGTGCCCTGTGATGCAGGGATGGATTGGGCACGGTCAGAGTGGGTGAGAGCTGGAGGAGCCCCTCGCTGCCTTTGTTCTATTTTGCTGCTTCCTATCCCGGTATTAACGGGCTGAGTTTAAAGCCCATGCTGTGACTGCCTTTTGTGAGGTAGAAATTCAGTGTCAGCACATGTATCCTGGAGGCAGTTGGCACGAGATGAAGGAGGGATGGCAGCAGCAGTTAAAACTGGGCCTTGGCTCTTTAATATTTAACTTTCCCCAGTGCTGGTTTTTTTTTTTTTTTAATCAGTTTGTGCATTATCTGCCATCCCCTTTCAAAGAGGGTTTTAGCACAGAGATTTCAGTGCTTAATCCCAGGGGCAGGGAAAGCGGAAGAGTCTCTCTGAAGGTTCCAGGGCTCAATCTGGCCTCAATTACACCAGCCTAAATCAGCAAAGAGTGGCCACAACGGACTTTGATGTGACCGCGTCGGGCTGGAGGTAACAAAATTAGGAGTAAGTCCCATATCTGTCCAGGAGACGCCTCTGGTCCCTAAGGCTCCATCCATAGGGAGTTCCCAGGAGGATATAAGCATTGCCTGGCTGGCTCAGAATGAATGTCCACCTTGGGCAACAACCAGTGCCTGGCCGTGGCCAGCTGCAGATGCTTAGGAAGGGATATCGGAAGAGGGAGAGTATAAAGTGATCCTTCCTCCGGCATATCCTCCCAGCTCCTGGTAATCAGCAGTTGAGGGACTTCCTAAGCCGGAGGTTGCATGAATTTGTGTAATCCCTTTTGTTGTCTTTTTTTTTTTTTATTTATTATTATTATTCATTTATACTTTTGGCCTCCACGACATCCTGTGGCAATAAGTTCCACAATGTAATTATGTGTTGTGTGAAAAAGTACTTCCTTTTGTCTGCTTTAGGCCTGGCTCCTGAACGTTTCTCTCCGTGATCCTTCGCTCTTGTGTTGTGAAGGAAATGGAAAAGAATTCCAGCTCCATACCAGACCTCTCTTGACCTCTTCAGACTTCTCTGTCTTTGTTTGTCCCAAGGTTTTGTTCTTCCAAATTGGAGCTCCTTGTTTTTCTAGCCTTTCTTCCTCATATGGTATCTATCCCATCACTTCCACTGTCCTTACCGCCCTCCTCCACGTCTCTTCTCATTTTATTATTGCCTTTTTTTGAGATAAGATCACTGAACTGAGACTTGATCACTCCTGAAGACATGAATTCATTCTGCTGGAAGAAGGTCAGCTCAAAAGGTTTTTTTTCCTCAAGTCACTCTTGTGTAGTTCAGTTTCTTCTACAACACGTACAGTCCTGGGCTTAATGGAAATACATATGCAGCTCTCTTCAAACACTTGGATTTGACCTATTCTGAGCAAACCTCCAGTCCTAGTTTAACTAGAGCCTGTGGGTTAATGTGACATCCACAAGTAGATCAACTAATGGGTCTGGTTTACACGAAGGGAATTTCATGTATGTGCTTATATTACTGCTCATTTATTCCTGCACAGATCCCCTGTGCACTACTGGTGGAGAAGGCCCACAGCCAGAACAGCTGAGCTGGTGAGCATGAAACTCGGGAGTCTCTAATTTCCAGAACATCTTTATTTATAAAATATGTCTATTTTTGCTCCTGTCATGCCTGCAAAACCAGCCTTCCTATTTTAGTCATCCCTGCCCTTTATTATTGTTTGTGTTGCCCCAAACCTCACAAATGGGGCAGGAGAATGGATTTTGTCTCCCGCTGCCGTGTGAATTTCAGAAACCACACTAGCCAGTCCTTCCAGACCTTGCTGCTAGGATGGCTTGATCATACTTGCAGATACAACCGGTCCTCACTTGATGGGAACCAGTTGCTGGTGTCTTGCACTGCTCCTGAATAAATGTTGTCCCAGGATTGTGCTGCAGATTTTTAAAACTCCACTTTTGGCAGTAGCTTAGAAGCCACATCCTTCCCTCACAACACACCAGCTCTTCTCCTGCTTCTCAAAGCAGCTTCATCCCCCTTGCCCACCGTGTGCCTTGGGCGGGTTTCCCACAGCAGGGAGACAGCCCAGACTTGTGTAAAGGATGGAGAAGTCTCTGGGAGAGTAGGATAAACTTGAGTTTATCAGATCGTGGCCCCTAAATGATAAGCTGGAAGAATATGTACGTTGTTATACTATCAGCAGCAGTGGGAATGAGCAGGGGTAGAGAGAACGTAGGAGGGAAAAATTGCTTTTCCCGTTCCTTTACGGTATTATTATGGCTTTTTATGCAGATATCTGCTCTGGAAGGAGTATCCCACACACCCTCAGCTCCCAGAACTTTGAAACCACGAGGCAGAACATATTTTAGGGTGGGAAAGAGGAAGGAGAGGTTACTGGGTGTGCTGCTTCTGTGCAGAATCACCCCTGTCACAGTGGTGGAAGGATAAATCCTCACCAGGTTTCATCCTGGTTTAACTCTTCTTGTTTGTGGGAGTAATTTTAAAATCCTTATTTCCCAAAGAATTGAGGCTGACACCATCAAGCTCACAGGATCTCTCTTTCCCCAGATCCTGCCTCTTACCTCCTACAACCTCAGGAAGTGCTGAACTTGCTGGTCTGTTTCAAAGAAAACAAACAGAGGAATAAAGGTCCAAGAGCTAAATAAATCTCTGCAGGAATAATGAAAATTGGCAGCAAGGTAAAGCAGAGAGATCCTACAAGCCTCTGCACTGAGGGTGTCCACCCTCTGCTAGATACCAGGTGTGAATTTGTAGGAAGCTGGGTTACATCTGTTTTGCCAATCATGAAACAACAAAACATTTGGAAGAAGGAGGTTTATTCATTTTCCAATTCAGCTTGGAAATTGCAGCAGGATGCGTGTTCCCAACATAGAATGGAAAAGCTGTGATGTGAACTCATGTTGTTTCTCTCCCAATTGGGTAGAGAATGACCCAGTTGTAGGGCAAGATTCAGGTCGAGCTCTCAGCCAAGCATGAGACAGAAACCCACAGGAAACAAAGTTTCATCAATTAATCATAGGGCTGGCAGGACTTTTTTCCTCCACTGAAATAGTTAATACACCTTCCATCGTGGACACAACTATACTGGTGTGAGGATGCTCCAACCCAGTTGCATCAGGAGGGCGTCGTTCGCTGCCACTTTGCAAGCCCTCAGCTCCCAAGAGGAACTTTTGGGAATTCCTAAGACAAACATTCAGGCTCAGGCAGCTGATCGGGACCTGCCAAGCTGCAGAGCTCAGGGAGTTACAGCCCTTTCTGAGGGAAGCTACTGCTCTTCAGCAGTAACTCGCTGTCTGAACCCTCTTATTCTGCTCTAGTGCAAAACAAAGCACGGTGAGAAGGTGTGGGAGCTGGATCTCTTTTAAAGCAGCTGAATGGCAGCGTAACTGCCAGGGATCTGTACTTATTCAACTGCATTTGCAATAAAGAAAAAAATTAGTGCCTTTATACCAATGCAGGAGTTGTGTGCAGAGATGAGCCCTTGGACACAGCCTGTGCTAACGGGGATAATCACTGAATCTACGCATTTGGGCGAACCTACACAGTTCATCTGATCGCGGACAGGCATGGATTCAGTCCAAGAGACCACAGGGATGGAACCCAAAGCAAGCTGAACCCCTTTGCCCATCTTCCCTGAAAATTCCAGTCACGATGCCATGATTTAAAAGACAGCGTTGGATGCATGCTTCACTCGCAGCTATTTCATCCTAGATTTTTAGAGAACGTGTACCTTAAGCACTGGGAAATTCACCAAAATAAAAAACAGAAATAGAAAACTAAAAGGTGGTGTACTTAGGGAGGTCGGTAAACAGGCATTGAGGACAAAACAGCCCGCAAATCCCCTAAATGAAATGGATTTTATCAAGCCAGTTGTCCTCCTTTCCCCGCAGCACATCTTCTCGGGTACCTGAAAGAAACAGGCTGCGTAAAGCGCATGAAAGATTTATCAGTCTCGGTCAGACGTGCTCTGCGCCCGGGAAACCCCATCTCGGTAAATCCATCTCCCTCACGTTCCCGTGGCGCTAGCGGGAGAAAGGGCCGCTGCGAGACGCGCGTGGCCGTGCCCCCCCCCCCCCGCGGGATTATCCCGATTAGTACTTCTTTGGGATGCTTCTCCCGAGCCACAACTCCCCTTCCACCGCTGCCCTGGCGCGGCTGAGGGGAGGGGCCGCTCGGGGGCCATTTTGAAGCCCCTCAGGGGCGGCCACACGGAGCCCCGCGCAGCGAGGCGGCCCCGGGATGGGGACGGCGGGGGAAGGGGAAAGGGAAGGAGCTGCCGGCGGCTCTGAGAGGAGGAAGGGTCAGAACCTCCGACGCCTCCCACCCCTCCCTCAGGGCGGGCGGGGCGGGCGGGCGCGGGGGCTCCGCCCTCGCTGACGCGGCGGGCGGGGAAGGGGCGGGACGCGGGGATGGAGCCGCACTGAAGGCGAAGCGCGGCCGGGGCGCAGCGCGGGCGGCGGCGGCACCTCCTCATCCCCCCCCCTCTCCTCCCCAGTTCCCAGCATGGAGGCGCCCCCGGGAGCGGCGGGCGAGCCGGCGGGATGGGCGGCGGAGCCTTTCGCGGAGCCGGAGCCCGGCGCGGAGGAGCTGGAGGCGGGCGGCGCGCTGGACCGCGTCCTGCGGGAGTCGGTCTGCCAGCAGCAGGGCTGGGTCCGCGTCTACGGTGAGAGGGGCGCCGGGGCGGGGAGCGGCGGAAAAACTTCCCGGCCCCAACTTCTTTCTGCCTTTATTTTCTCCCCGCTGCCGGAGCTCCCGAGTCTCTTTACCCTCCCCACCTCCCTTCCCGGAGCCGCCGGTTCACCCCGGCCCGCGCCTTCCCCTGTGGCGGGGTGCGGGATGCTGCGGTGTGGGATCCGCGTCCAAGCCTTTTGTGTGCCCGCGGTCCCGGGATGCGGGTGCCGGCGGGGCTGAGCGCTGCCGTCTCTAATTAGCATTAATGAGGTACTGAGGGCCTGGGAGGTGCTGATACGGTGGGTCCCGTCGCCCCAGACTTACTGGTCTGTGTTGAATTGGCACGTTTATTATTCATAAAAGGGATGTTAAAATCCCTAGCAGTGCAGGACGCGGGGCTGTTTCCCCTTCTTTGTCAAACTCTCCCTGGTATGTAACCTTTTAAAATTAGCTTGATTTATGTGGCCTGGCCTCTGGTTTGTTTAGGCTCCCACAGCTGAAGTGCAGTCGGGCTTAATCTCTCCATCAGCACCTAAATAGTGGAAATTCTGTTTTATCTCGTCCTTGTCTCTCCCTCTTGTTTGTCTTGGTAATCTGACGATAATTACTCCCAGGCTTCAGAGTGAAGAGCACTGCTGGCAGTATCTTGTTTTCCCTCCTGTAACAAATTTGATGGTCAAGCCTTGAAAAGGCGCCAGTTGTGGTGTGTGCTCGTGTTACCTTTGTCTAATATTGTTATTGTTGCCCCATCCCTGGAAGTGTTCAAGGCCAGGCTGGAAGGGGCTCGGAGCAACCTGGTCTAGTGGAAGGTGTCCCTGTCTATGGCAAGGGGTTGGAATGAGATGAGCTTTAAAGTCCCTTCCAACCCACACTGTTCTGTGTTTCCATGATTGTGGAGAACCTGTAAAACCACTTTTTTATTGGTACTTTTTAACATCAGACCCTGTCACTCTGATGATTGTTCCTGTCGTTTTCCTCCCCTGCCCTGAATCCCAATGAGATTCCCCAGGTTTTCCCTGCCCTGTAAAACTAGAAGCAAATGCTCTCTGTTACCCGTGTCATTGATCTGTTACTGGTTGCGTTATTCCTGAAACACAAAGATGACATGAATAAGTTATCTGCAAGAACTCTGCTGTGTTTCTTGCCTGATGACAGGTAATTATTGTGAATACCACCAGCCTGAGCCTTTGCACATATCAAATGAGGAAGATCAGGCTGCAGCTTTTCTGGAGAGCATGGTCTGTTCAAAGACCTTTGTGTTTATTTTGGAAGCTTGAAAAGCTGGTGCAGTGGGACAGAGTTGTCTGTCTACTTTCTGTCTGGTGCATCAGTGAGTGAAGTTATACTTAGCACAATTAATTGTAATAGAAGTTTGGGATTTTTAGTAATTTCTACTGTGTCTAGCTTGCTGCTTCTTGCCTAGCTTGCTTTTGTTAATCCCAGCCTAAAGCTGAGACTATAAAATGCAGCTTTCCACAAAAATACCTCTCTGCTGCTGTCAGGGGTTGCTCCAAAGAAAGCAGATTGCCTTCAGGTGGTTTGTTTGTTGAAAACACTTTCTAGAGGTAAAATGAGAATGTACTTAAGAAGAGGATGTCTGGCACCGGGCTATCTGATTGTTACCCAAGGTTGTATCTTCCATGAGTGGAAGCAGGAATGCGGTTTCAAAATTAGCCACAGTGAGGAACATTGCTTGTTGATAAAGTCATATGTTGTGATGTGTTTGTAGTCTGACACTAACGTGTAGATAAATAGGAAAAAAATTCCCTGTGACGAGGCCCAGCCAGCTCACAGGCTATAAAAATCAGGGTAGACTTCAAGCATGTAAAAATACATCTCGTAGCCCAAGGACAATAACTAATTATTCCTAGTCTGCGTTTAGAAACAGCTCATTATCCCTCTCCCTCATAAAGAATCTGATGGAGTAGTGTCTTCTCTACCTTCCCTAAGATATTGCCATTGGATTACTATTATTTGTTTGTTTCCTCCTGCTTATTAGCCTTTTTTTTCTTTGCATGAGCACATCTGGAGAAGTTTGCAGACAGTGAATCAAGCTGAAACTGTGCCACGTTTGTGCACAGCTAAATATGGGTTACAAGCCTATGAGTGACAAGTGTTATTCATAGGATTAAAAGTAAAGCCTTGCACAGTTGTTTGAGGAACCACAGCAGCATAGCGAAAGAAAACAGGAGCAGAAAGCTTAGCCTTATTGTCTGTATTGTCTGATAAACAATGAGAACACTAACGCTAATTATTTCACCATGAATGGCTGGGGGAGGGAAGGAAGGAATATCGAGCACATGGAAAGTGGAGGAGCATTTTCTGGCACGGCAAGAAATGAAGCTTTTGATGTCACCACATTTCTTTTCCAACATGTCTCTATGAACGTGGACCACTGTGTTGGGAAGCTGCCCCAAATGAAAGGTGACTGTCTGAGAAGTGGCCCAAGGAGTGGAAATGTGTATTTTAAAGAAAAAGGGTTCAGCAGGCGCTTGAAGAGACAGGCAGCTGTTTATTTCTGTGCGGCTCTGCTCGGCAGTGGTGTGCCATCCACTTTGTGTCTATCCAGGGAGGTAATTACTGGCACGAGGGGAGCTGGTCTGGTTGCAGAGCCTGTAAAACTTCGTCTGTAAGCACAGAGAAAAGAATTCAGCAGTAAAGTCCCGTCATTACTGGTCTCTGCGGCTCGCCAGCAGCATGACAGTGATGTGAATACAGTAGGACTTTACAATGTCTGGGATGTGATTTCAGTGTGACACTGAGGTCTTGTCTGACTTCACTATGAGATCTAAATCACAGTCTGGCTATTTTTGCATTTCCTGCCTTAGCTGCACCAGTTCCAAGGGTGGCTGTTTCATTCTGCGTTCTGGAGGTTCGACAGCCTCTGCTTTAGGGAATTAGCCGGGACATTATCATGGAAATACAGTTTTCTTACTGAAGGACAGAGTTTGAAACATAATTAGGTTCCTCTAACCTGATGTTTGAGTAGTGGACAGGAACAGCAGATTTGCTCGTTGGAGTGATAGGTTTAATTGCTCGTGAAACACAAATCATGTGAGTGCTGTTAGATGATGTTTCCAAGAACTGGTTTTGACACACAAGTAATGTTTCTGTAAAATATGTATTGACATGTGTTCTGGGTGACAGCTTCCATTCAGACTCACGGTGTGTGTGTAACGGGTAGGAGGGAAGAGGTCTCTTGCCTGGATTAATGGTATGAATTTTTTTTCTCTGCACAAGGGATAACTGACTTTTGAAAGCACCCACCCGTGTTTCAAGGTCTTTTTCTCTACTCTTTGAAACAGGTTTTGGGAGGAGGAGGCAGGGGAATAACTGAACTCACAGCATTCTCAGAGCTAACTGTGAAAACAGAGTAATTACGTTGCCTGGTGTGGCTGACTGAACATCCATGGATTTTGTAGGAATGAATTCTAAAGCCAGCATCACAGCATTGGTGTTAAATGTTGCATGTGATGGGGGCAGAATGGGTTTTTGCCTGACTTACAGTCTGTGTCTAAACAGGTTGTAAACTCCTGTAACGGGTGGTTGTCAGATTTGTTCTTAATGTGCCTGCTCTGAGCTCACTGCAAACGCTCCTGTGCTAAAATTGCAGAAGAGTTGCTGAAATAGCACAGGGAAGGGTCTGTTCTTGAGTGTTCGTCCTATGGACAAGCAGTGTTGCTCTGGGGGCTTTATCTGGACTAGGAGATGTCTTTCTCTTTTACCAACAGTGCTAAATGATGATGGTTGTTGTACAAACTCCAGTGCAGATCAGATATGGACATTTTCATCACCTTGTCCTCTAATCCTGCGGGCAGTCTGGAGACATTCCTCGCTGTCGGAATGAGCCTCCTCACCCCCCTTTCTCCTGGCAGAAGGAGAAGCCTTTTCAAACTCAGGCTAGAAGTGATCCGTGCCTTTTCATGGATATTGATCTGCAGGTGGAGCTTTGCTGACTCTGACTCTAGAAAAAGCCCCAGACCCCGTGCAACCCGATGGAAATGTCTCTTGGCTACCTCAAGCCCGAGTTCCAGGCTTTTAAGTATTGGCCCTCAGAAAATACCAGGCTCAGGACTGAAGCCACGGTAATGCACACAGTGTCATGTGGAGACTGAAAAATAGCTGTGGCTCAGGCACTGAGCAGAAGCATCTCCCAGTGAAATTCAGTTCAAAAGCCCAATTCCTGTGAATTATCCATTCCAGCAACCTGTTGTCTTCCTTGCTCAACTCTTTTATATCCATGACTCTGTTCTCAGGGGTTTTCAGTTCTTTATGGTTTTGTAGGTAGCTTGACACCTACCTTTTCTTTTTTGGTTTTTTTTTTTTTTTTTATTCCTTTCTTTCATTTCTTGCATTTGTATCTAAAAATGCAAAGACCCTCTCGCTTTGGATGAGCACCAACAGGCTTTGGTAACGAGGAGCATCTCGTCAGCACATCCTCTCCTCCCAGCCCTGCTCGTGCTGCTGGCGGGCGCTTTCCGAGGTGTCCATGCGGGAATGTTGGGTGTGAGTCCCGCCTGCCCCTCCGGGCTCCACCCGAGCCCGTGGAGGTCCCACCAGGTGGCGGCATCTCCATTGCGGTGCTGCCGGACCTGCCGGGACGCCCCAGGATGCCCGAAACGCGCTGGGATATCGCCTCCTCTCCGCTCCCAAACCTTATGGCTGGCCCCCGCCAGCTCCGTTACAAGCGGCTGTGTGACAAGGGGGAGGTGGGAACAGTGTCTTTAATGTAAAAAAACCCCAAAAGACTCCTAAACGAGGCGGCCTGATGGCTGTTACAGAGGGTTTTCCCCTCCTTGAGGTGCGTGGGCTGGGTTTTGTCTGCTGCTGCATTTCTGACTGTGTGGAGCTGCAGTTCCTTGCAGGAGAACATTTGCTATTAGGCAAGATTTAGCTGCACCTGCACCTTAAATCCTGTTGAGACCCTTGGAAGGCTGGAAGGGAGCTGGAGAGCTGCAGGGTGAGTGCAGCCAGTCTCGTGTTGGAAAGTGG